TAAGCATGGTGGCACGCACTTCTGGTCCTAGCTATTCGACAGGGCGAGAGGCAGAAGGATCACTTGAGCCCAGGAGTTGGACGCTGCAGTGAGCTACGACTGAGCCACTATAATCTAGCCTGGGCAACAGAGCAAGAGCCTGTCTGTAAATTTTTAAAAGGCTAATGAAAAAAAAAAAAAATCTTGGTTCTTTGTTCTTGGTATCCACAGCAAAACCAACAGCCTGAATTGGAACTGTACATTTGTGACGGCTCTTTACAAACCTCAGGTTCCAAGTTGCTGTCAATTCCATCATAGATGAAAGGATTATCCTCTGCTATGACCTCCAAAAATTTAGGTGCTGTTAATTCCTTATTTATCATTTTAAAGTCCTGTAAAAAAAAAAATGAAACCATAACTACCTATAATTGCAAACAGCTATATATTTTAATGTCAATTTATATCAATACAATAATTTAAGACAATGTATCAGAAATTAATAACCTTTTTCTTTTTGAGAGACAGAATCTCACTCTGTCACCCAGGCTGGAGCGTAGTGGTGTGATCTTGGCCCATTGCAACCTCTACCTCCTGGGTTCAAGCAATTCTCCTATCTCAGCTTCCCAAGTAGCTGGGTCTACCGGCATGTACTACCACATCCAGCTAATTTTTGTATTTTTTAGTAGAGACAGAGTTTCACAATGTTGGCCAGGCTGGTCTCAAACTCCTGATCTCAAGTGATCTGCCTGCCTCGGCCTTCCAAAGTGCTAAGATTATAGTCGTGAGCCACTGTGCACAGCCAGAAAATAATATCTTAAAGACTGATAATTTTGAAAAGCATTCAGGATTAAGGGTATTTATGGCCAGGCATGGTGGCTTACACCTGTAATCTCAGAATCTTGTGAGGCTAAGGTGGGAGGATCACTTGAACCCAAGAGTTCGGGACCTGCCTGGGTAACATAGCAAGACCCTGTCTCTACAAAAAATTTAAGATGTGGGCTGAGCATGGTGGTGTATGCCTGCAGTCCTAGCTAATCAGGAGGCTGAAGTGGGAGGATCACTTAAATCCAGGAGTTTGAGGCTACAGTGAGCTGTGATCACAACACTGCACTCTAGCCCAAGTGACAGAGCAAGACCCTGTCTCAAAAAACAAACCAAACTCCCCACTCCCCCCCACACACACACACATTGGTATTTACTTCTCTATCCCTTACCTAGTATCTCCAAAGTAACAATAAAGTATTTTTTGGCATCAGAACAGGACACAGAATATGGCCCAGGTGTGAATTTTTTTTTTTTTTTTTTTTTTGAGATGGAGTCTCACCCTGTCACCCAGGCTGAAGTGCAATGGCCTGATCTCAGCTCACTGCAACCTCCACCTCCTGGGTTCAAATGATTGTCCTGCCTCAGCTTCCTGGGTAGCTCGGATTACAGAGGCCCACCACCATGCCCAGTTAATTTTTGTATTTTTAGCAGAGACAGGGTTTCAGCATGTTGGCCAGGCTGGTCTCGAACTCCTGACCTCATGATCCGCCTGCCTCAACCTCCCAAAGTGCTGGGATTACAGGAGCGAACCACCACGCTGGCCTCAGGTATGAAATATTAACACAATACTATAGGCTGAAAAGCACATACAGAAACAATGTACTGCATAACAAAACCAACTTTACCATAGAATAACTGACATAAAGAAGAGTTAAGCTCCTATAGCACTGGTTAAAGTCAGTTTCCAAGAACCTATCAATAATATTAAGTAAGGACTTACTGTACTCAAATGTTCAGGTTTCACTATTTTTTAAAAAATCACTCTACTAACCAGCCTGGGCAACATGGTGAAACCCTGTCTCCCTAAAACTACAAAAATTAGACCGGCATGGTGGCACATGCCTATAATCCCAGCTACTTGGGAGGTTGAGGCAGGAGAATTGCTTGAACCAGGGGACAGAGGTTGTAGTGAGCTGAGATCATGCCATTGCACTTGTCTGGGAGACAGAACAAGACTCCATCACAAAAAATAAATAAATAAAATCACTCACACCAAGAACCAGGAAGATCTCAAACTGAATGAAAAAAAGAGAATACACAGATGCCATCACCAAGATGACGGCAGTGTTACAATTGACTAACAAAGATTGTAAGACAGTCATCACAAAAACGCTTCAGTGAGGCCGGGTGTGGTGGCTCATGCCTCTAATCCTAGCGCTTTGGGAGGCTGAGCTGTGTGGATCACCTGAGCTCAGGAGTTCAAGACCAGCCTGGGCAACATGATGAAACCCCGTCTCTACCATAAATATAAAAATTAGCTGGGCATGGTGGCACACACCTGTAGTCCCAGCTACTTGGGAGGCTGAGGC